AGGCTTTCTTTCCTTTTTGACAGTTTAGTTTTGAAAGTTGTTTTCCTTCTGATTTATATAAACTGTTTCTAGTTGAATGTAATTATCCTACCATAGAAGTATAAGAAAGGTGAAATTTGTCTAATTTTACATTTCAAGGAAACTATTTGTGAATTATTTCTGTTTAAAAAAAACAGCAACAAGAATAACTAATCTCTTGAGCAGCTTTTCAAAAAAAAAGAAGTGATGGATAAATGAATGATGCTTTGTTCACATCTATTTTGACAATCTCATATACATTGTTCTGCACCCATATGGCTTCTCTGTAGCTCTTGGATCAACTTTAACTTATTCAGGACACCCCAATCTTACTAAAATATTAATAAAGTTATAGTCTTGTTTTGATTAAAATAAACTAGATATATACACTAATAAGAAACAAATGTTGAAATGAACATAAAATTCAAAGTATAATTGCAATTAAATAATATATGGGTATGAAGATTTGAAGATTCAGAGGTAAAAACTGATACTCACTAACCATTCAACTTTAATTATTTATACCACATTTGGAATTTGCATAATCATAGCAGCAAGATTATGTTTATAAATTATAGTCCTGAATGGTTAAAATAATAATGTTCAGTTTCATATAATTTATTTAAAAAGTCTTAGGGCATAGGGACCTTGATGGTTCTAAGTCCATTTCTCTGTTTCCAAGTCAGATAATACTTGTATGATTAAAGTGAAAGTATTCTATTATTCAAAGTGCCATATGAAAAACCTCTTAAAAACTATTTAATGTGCCTCCTTTCTAATCTATGTTTATGTTTTCTAGCTTCCAGGCCTTGTTCTTAGATTCCTTTAACCCTCCCTTCCTGACATTTGATCAGTCCATGCCCATTTTTCAAGTCCCTATTGAGTATGCCATTTTTCTAAGAAAACTTCTCTGAGGCTATTCTGTCCCAAATATATGAAATGATCCCTCTCTGAACTCTTATAATCTCTGTTTGTATTTCCTTTTAAGATAATATGTCAGTGGTCCCTTTGACTATGCCCAGGGTCTCTGATTTTCTAGAACATAGTACTAAACATAATTATGCTCTGGCTATGATTTATTACAGTGAAAAGATACAGAGCAAAATTAGCAAAGGGAAAAGACACAAGGGTGAAGCCCAGAGGAACCAGCAGCAAGCTTCCAAAAGTTCATCCCCATAGACCACACGGGAAGTGCGTTATTCCTGCAGCCCTGGATTGTCCACCAGGGAAACTCATTAAAGGCTCAGTGCACAAAGTTTTTATTGGGAACTAGTCCTATAGACTCACTTGCCTAGCATGTTCCAATATTCCAGACTCCCAGAAGGAAAGCACGTGTTTAGGACAAGCCACACTGTTTGTAATCCAGGCACAGTGAACCATCTCATGAAGTAGGATGGCACTTCGGAAACCCCAGTTCTCAGATGGCAGCAAGGGCTAAACTTGACCATATGTCTTTCAAAGGATGGGAGTCCAGGCCTATTATGATGACGCTTGGTGTACTGGTTGTCACATTTGTTCTACTTTATGAATATACATAGTACAGGAATCTATCTTACGAACATACATATCTTACAACTTGTCTCAACTATCTCAGGGTAAGCCCATTGAAGGCTAAGTTGGGATTTCTTTCATTATTCCAGCATTCCAGCATAGAATGAGATTGTTGAAAGCAGACACTTGACAAGTATTGATGATTAGAAGATTAGCTCATTTAGGAAGGAACTGCAAGAATAGGCAGGAAAGTAAACCTAACAGTATGGGTAGGAGTCTTGTCCTCCTGTTCTGGGTGGATCTCCCTATATTTACCGTAATTTTTCTGAATTAATGGCCACAGGATAGCACATATTAGATAAAAGATAAGAGAACTACCAATTTTAAGTAAGACTAATGCTGATATTAGGGATGTTATTAATATTAAATATAAGTATATTTTAAAAGAATCAGCAATATATAGTATCCACTCTTTAATTTGTTTTGATTCAACTATAAAAAACCCAATAGACCATGTTTAAAGTCACTTTCTTATAAAGAGACTTATTGAACACTTATTTAATGTTCTCAGTGAATTATAAATATTAAGAACAGGGTAATTAAAAGAGCTAATACTTATGCCATGCCAAACAATGTTCTAAGCACCACTCCGAGAGTTAGATACAGTGACATATTCTACCTTAGAGATAAGGTTATGAAAGAAGTTTAATCACCTTTTGAAGCAGTGCCTCTGATATCAATCTTCTTAAATGCTACCCTTTACTGATTCTCACACCCCTGAAAAGCTCAGGTGTGCATCTCCTTCATTTTTTTTTCTTTACAATATTAAAGAAAGAATCTTTGCTCTACTTTCAATGTTTTCTTTGCCAACATTTTAAAAATTAAAGAACCCAAATATCCCTAGATTTTTGCCATCCAATTCTTGGTAGACTCTATGGTCTTAACAAAGAATTTGTCACTATTAATAATGCATAAAACATAATGAAGATTTAACAATGCATTTATCATTTGTGATTATCATTCTGCACATAAATAAACAGAAAGTTATACCAGCATAGAAAAAATAAACCTATATACACTGGAATCTGTTTATCCCTACCAGTCTTAGATAGTTGAGTTTTGATACAATGAAGTGACTGTTTAAGAATAAAGCTTTTCATTCCCTTCTGAATAGGAAACATTTATATTTGAACCAAAAAGAAAAAAAAAAAAGAACTCAGAGAAGAGAAATTACGCTCGGGATTTATTTTATTTTCTTAGAGAATTAATCAGAAGCCTAAAAGTTATAAACAAGCTACATTCTGTGAGATGCAAACAGCAGTTTAGAAAGAAGATATTTTTGCTCCTAGATCCAGAATATTTGGTGTGACAAAGGAGTTGTCAGTAATGTTGACAAGTGTCTAAGTTGTTACCTCTTCAGCATTCTTATTGAAGTTGAGAAAGACGACTATTCTGTGGCTGTGGGCAAAGCTCTTCACTATGAAACTAGGATGACAGGCATTTGAAAGGCATCGTGTTAATTTACAACAACTGAAGCAAACCTCCTTCAGGTGACTTACTTTATCATCCATGTCACAGAGGAGGCAGCTGTGTCTTGGGGAGGTTAAGGGAATGTCTCAGGGTCATGCAAATAGAAAGTGGCAGAGCAGAGACTTGAACTTAACTAAATTTGTACTCAACCAAAGGCCACATTGACTGTGAAATATCAGAAGGGACCCAAATTTTAATGCAATTAGAAATGTTCAGTCCTGTATTAACTTTCTAATACTATCACAAATAGTTGAGATAATCAACATAAGGTTTACTTGGGGCTCACAGTTCTAGAAATTCCAGACCATGATTAGGATAGTCTGTTGCTTTTAGGTCATGTCATGTAAAGAGTGGATGATGTTTTGATTTGCATTCTCTAAATGCTAGTGATGTTGAACATTTTTTAATATATTTTTTGACCACTCCTATTTCTTTTTCTGTGAAGTGCTTGTTCAGTTCCTTAGGTCATTTATTGATTGGATGATGATGATGATGATGATGATGATGATTCTTTGGTGTTAAATTTTGTGAATTCTTTCTATATCCTGGAGATTAATGATCTGAGGTGCTGGTGGTAAAGATATTCTCTGTTCATATTCTTGATTGTTTCCTTTACTGTGAAGAAGCTTTTTGGTTTGATACCATCCCATTTATTGATTCTTGATTTTACTTCTTGCCAAGCTATGGAACCAACCTAGGTGCCCTACAACAGATGAATGGATAAAAAAAAAAATGTGGTACATATACACAGTGAAATATTACTTAGCCATTAAGAGGAATTAAATTATGGCATTTACCAGTAAATGGATGGAGCTGGAGATTATCATGTAAGTGAAATAAGCCAATCCCAAAACACCAAAGGCAGAGTGTTCTCTCTGACATATGGATGCCCATCTCAACAAGAGAGGCAAGATTAGAAGTTCAATGGACTAGACAAAAGAGAATGAAAGGAAGGGATGGGGGTGGGAATGGAAAAGATACTATAATGTATTGGACACATCTTTCCTATCCTTATATATATACACACAACCAATGTAATTCCACAATATATACAGCCACAGTAATGGGACCTTAATTGGAACAAGTTATATTTATTCTGTGTATGTATAATATGTCAAAATACACTCACTGTCATGTATATCTAGAAAGAACAAATTTTTTAAAAAAGAGAAAAACTGGAAAACAAAAACAAAAAAAACACAAAAGAGTGGGTGATAAAGCAAAACCACTCCCCTCATGTCCAGAGAGCAAAAGAGGGCAAGGAAAGGAAGGGAGGGTACTCACGGGCATTCCTCTTAAAGACCTAAAGACCTCCCACCAAGCCCCTCTTCCTAAAGGTGTAACTCCACAACATGCACAACCACAGAAATGGGAAGTTACACTCCACGCATGTATGATATGTCAAAATACATTCTACTGCCATGCATAATTAAAAAGAACAAAAAGTTTTAAAAAGGGTTCCATTACCACGCAACATTATCTCTTTGGGAACCAAGCCACAAACATTTAGGCTTTGGAGAGACATTTGCTATCCCAAGTATAGCAAGTCCGAAGCACTGACATACAATTCTCTATAGGTTAAATTACAGCAGAATTGAGCCCAAATTCCTGAGAAATTAAATTTTGGGGAATTGTACTATTATTAATGATACAGTTTTAATTCGGGTGTGCAGTTGCTCTGTGGTGTTTGAAACAAGAGAAAAAAAAAAAGAAAACATTTTGTACCTCAACTCTGAAGGCAGCAAATTATCTCTTGGACACAGCATTAAAGAGAGCAACAAGTAGCTTAACTAATTATGTTGTATTAAATCATTACTTTTATCACAATAAAAGCTGGAAACTGTTAAGCCACATTATATGTATTCCTCCCAGATAACAATATGGGTTAAATATTATAAATATTTATTAACTTCATGCAATGGAGACATCAATAAACAAGAACATGAATAGATTTCACCTACTTTTGAAATGTTACTTGATCGACTGGCAGATCGTCCTGGGGATTTGTCGTTCTGAAAAAATAAAATTAGAAACATTGATTAAAGAGGAGTGTGGCAATACTCTATCACTGAGAAGAAAAGGCACAGCTTGGGGTATTCATGTGACTGTTCTCAGTAGTGTTCCAACTGACTGAGAGAAATATTAATTGCTTACACAGAATGACTTTTCTCATCAAATTTTATCTCTCCGATATGGAGCAGTGTAGTTTTATTTTTTTATTTTATTTTTTTAATTTCTGCATTTTCTTTTTTTTATTGGTTGTTCACAACATTACAAAGCTCTTGACATATCATATTTCATACATTAGATTGAAGTGGGTTATGAACTCCCAATTTTTACCCCAAATGCAGATTGCAGAATCACATCGGTTACACATCCACATTTTTACATAATGCCCAATTAGTAATTGTTGTATTCTGCTACCTTTCCTATCCTCTACTATCCCCCCTCCCTCCCCTCTCCTCCCATCTTCTCTCTCTACCCCATCTACTGTAATTCATTTCTCTCCTTGTTTATTTTCCCATTCCCCTCACAACCTCTTATATGTAATTTTGTATAGTAATGAGGGTCTCCCTTCATTTCCATGCAATTTCCCTTCTCTCTCCCTTTCCCTCCCATCTCATGACTCTGTTTAATGTTAGTCTTTTCTTCCTGCTCTTCCTCCTTGGTCTGTTCATAGTTGCTCTCATTATATCAAAGAAGACATTTGGTATTTGTTCTTTAGGGATTGACTAGCTTCACTAAGCAAAGAGAGGTAAATAGGGAGCCTACATCCTGGGAACAAATTTTTACTCCTCACACTTCAGATAGAGCCCTAATATCCAGAGTATACAAAGAACTCAAAAAATTAGACAATAAGATAACAAATAACCCAATCAACAAATGGGCCAAGGATCTGAACAGACACTTCTCAGAGGAGGACATACAATCAATCAACAAGTACATGAAAAAATGCTCACCATCTCTAGCAGTCAGAGAAATGCAAATCAAAACCACCCTAAGATACCATCTCACTCCAGTAAGATTGGCAGCCACTATGAAGTAAAACAACAACAAGTGCTGGCGAGGATGTGGGGAAAAGGGTACTCTTGTACATTGCTGGTGGGACTGCAAATTGGTGCGGCCAATTTGGAAAGCAGTTTGGAGATTCCTGGGAAAGCTGGGAATGGAACCACCATTTGACCCTGCTATTGCCCTTCTCGGACTATTCCCTGAAGACCTTAAAAGAGCATGCTACAGGGATGCTGCCATATCCATGTTCATAGCACAATTCACAATAGCTAGACTGTGGAACCAACCCAGATGCCCTTCAATAGATAAATGGATAAAAAAAATGTGGCATCTATACACAATGGAGTACTATGCAGCAATAAAAAATGACAAAATCATAGAATTTGCAGGGAAATGGATGGCAGTGTAGTTTTAAAAATATTCCAGTGAACATCTGAGCACTTATCAAGCTAGAAATATTTATTTCCAGGAAATGATTATATTATTTCTCCAGAAAGATTTGTGCAGTTTCTTTGAAAATAAAATTAGACAATGATACATTAGTCCTCTATTTCCCCTTCTGCTTTTGCAACCAGGAAATTCTGAGTAAATTCTGACTCTCAGTGCCAGTAAATTCTCAATGCCAGATGCATGGTAGAGACACCTAGCTTGTGCTCTTCAAAAGTAGATTTGATTGGTCTTTGCTGTTATTTTACACACTTAAAAAATTTAAAATATTTGCTTTTTTTAAGTTAAAATGTTTTCTAAATTGTAAGTTCTAAAATTTAAAACCAAAAAAATGTTTAAAACTTTCAAAGCCAGTTCTTTTAAAGAATTTCCAGTTGGAATGAAAAGTATTATGAAAAATGATTTCAAATAAAATATTTTTAAAAGTCATGCAATTTTAAAATGGAAAGAGACCTTAAGGAGTTGACCCCTCTCATTGGAAGACCAGAGACATTCCACTTCCAGCAATCATAGATCTAGTGCAAGCCAGACCAGCCCTAAGGCCTTCGGACTGGTCCAGCCTGTTTATGCTTTATACTCTGCCAATTATCTGTAAGTGGATAATCAACTGGGAAAATCAGTTTATGGGCATTATGTATTTTACGTGTAGAATGAGGTCACAGTATACCTCTCCTGTAGAGAAAATGTTGGAAAAATCAGTTCAGGAAACCTAAAATTTGTGAAGGATGTGAATCAACATTGTCATTGAAATATTCTTGTCACAGTGAATTTTTTTTTTAACTTCTAGACTCAACCTCAAAGCAGACCTGAGTAGACTACAGCAGTGTATCTTGACAGAGGTCATTTCTAAGGGCTGAGGGTCACAAAAATCCGTGGGGCTGAAATTGCCCCGTGATGACTACTTGAGACTGTTTCAGAAATATGGTGCTGATGGGAAATGGCAGATGTGTCAAAGTGAAAAAATAGCAGCTACACTCACTGCAGGCTGTGACTGAGTCAGGCATAGGCTTACAGAGATTCTAGCTGAACAGTCCTTTTTTCTTTATATGAAACATCATACAACCATGGATATCACCTTGGAGTTGTTATGTTATTACAGACCGAGATGAGTCACCGTACCATCAGCCACTCCTCATAACAACTCTGGGATCCAACTGAAGATGGATGTACATGCTACCCACAGACCTCCCCTGATTAGCTTCTGCTGGGATGGGGAGAGACATTTTTTCTATGGACGTCAAAACTCCTCTTCTGGAGATTAGTTAACAAAGTCAACCCATCTTTTCAGGATTTTGACACATTATTGTGTAGAACAGAGGTATATAAGCCACAGAATACAATAGGCTTTGGGGGTAGACTTGTGGTGGTTGCTATGTTTTCTGTATGTACATGGTATTTGAGGATGTGAAGAAGAAACAAGAATTGGAAGTATTGCTGCAAGAACTAAGAAGAAAAACAGGACACTTGTTTGGTATTAGATTACTTAATTTTTCAAATCAAACAGAACTTTGTGCTATTTTGAGAGAAAACAAGGAGGGTCAGATTCTCTTTGCAGTTGTCAGTGAATTCATCATAGGATTATAATAAACAGGTACTATCTATTCTCTTCATTGGCATCACTATCACTGTTGGTTACTAGAGTCACAATTTCCTTTCCTTTTATTTCTTTCTTTTATTTTTATTTTTTTTTGTAAGTAATGGGGATTCAGCCCAGGACCACAAGCATACTAGGCAAGCACTCTACCACTGAGCCACATGCCCAAACCTAAAGTCACAATTTTCAGGTAAACATCTTAATTCCTTTGTCTTGCAATTCTGCCTCTACTATGATTAAATTCTGGGCATATGAAATTTAAGGATGAAAGTTCAAAATTTTTTATACACAAGGATATTAAGGAAGTTGATCAGCCTTGTGTTTGAAGGAAAGCATCTAGCGCTTTCTCTCTTGGAAACCTTCCAAGGCGATCTGTCCAATTTGCTGCTAATTAATTGGGTGGCTTGTCCCATTACGGCTGCAATGACATATTCCTTTTTGTAGATTAGTCAATATGGTTGTCATACCTCATTATGATCAGTTTAAATACTTTACCTTAGATTAAATATAAGCTGTCTCAGAGTCTAACAAATCTTACTGCAACCCAAATTATAGTGACTTTGGAGGTCAATAACCAACAAGAGTTTCTGTCAGGTCTGCATTAAAAGTGCGGAATCTTGAGGCAGTAATGTTGGATTATAGCATGTCAGTCACAGCACACAGAGAGACGTAGTTTCATAATTATTTTTAAAACAATGTTGGACTTTTAGCATATCATTCAGAGCATGCAGAGAGGCTCATAATTTCACAAGAATATTTTTATATCTTTAAGAGGTTTCTAACTTTTTCATTTGATATATTATTTGCTTTATTTTATGGTTATTGTTATTGCTTTCAAATTTGATCTTCGTAAACAGAGTTGGATGTTTATTATCAACAAGGAAGAGAGATTAGCAAATGAGAAAATCAATACCAAATCTTATTTTAATGTATTTTTAATGTTATCCTCTAAATGATGTAGTTCCTTTAAAGTGGAATGGTCTATGTTAAAGAATGTGCAATGTGGTTGGTCATGTATATATCTCTCTACACATGAATTCTTTGTATACTATATTGTTTTTCCAAAGAAGGTAGTAAGAAAACTCAAGTTTTTTATGTAAATTGGAGAAGACACTAAATATTCCTTCACGAAGAGATCAATATCCTCATTAAATCACTGAAATGATGCTATTCTGTAGGGTTCTTCCCCATACTCCCAGGCTAAAAACTGAGTATTTGAAAAGAGGAAAAATTATGGTAATTTGGAGAGTTATCTGAAGAATTTTTTTTTTTTTTTTGCTGGGGGTGGTAATTAAAGCTTGGAATAGAAGAAACTATTTAAAAACTGTGACTTAAAAACAAAAAATAAGGGCAGTGAAATTGGATAATGTAATAAAATTTGATTAACATATATAAAAAACCCTCATGTTCATCGAATGAAAAGCATGTATATGAAACATTTAAAAATATTTTTCTTCAGAAATTCTTTAATAAAATTTTCAAGCCAATTATTAGAATTGCAATTTTGAGAGGTGATAAATCAATCAATTGAAAATTAATTAGACTTTTATATAATGTTTGGTTTAAAGGAATGAAAACTCTCTGGAATATAGCCAGGAACTTTAAAAAACATCATACTAAAAACTATGGAAGCTGGCACTACGTGGCACACCTGTAATCCCAGAGGTTTGGGAGGCTGAGAAAGAAGGATAGCAAGTTCAAAGCCAGCCTCAGTAACTTTGCAAGGCCCAAGGCTCTAAACAACTTGGGGAGACCCTGTCTCTAAATTAAAAAAAAAAAAGGGCCAGGGATGTGACTCAGTGGTTAAGTGCCCCTGGGTTCAATCCCTGCTACCAAATAAATAAATAAATAAAACATCTGGGAACAATGCATGTTGTATCCAGATTAAAATTTATAACTATAAATGATTTCATTTTTAGAGAACATAGTAAAATAAAATGTAATGAAAATAAGATAATA